TATATCGAATTTAAAAAAATAGAATGGAGGCCAAATTTAACAGTTTGCATGAGCACATTGAACTAAATATTAAGCAGTTACGGTCAGTTGCAGCAGCATGAAGTAAATCTACTTTGACTTCAGAGCACCTTTGAGGACGTCTACAGTGGTCCAGGATTGAACGTGACTTGGTACACACTCGCAGGGAACCACGATCACTTCGGAACTGCCGAAGCTCAAGTGGAATATACCAGACATAGCAAAAAATGGTGCAAGATCTGATAATCCTTATCAAAAACTTCAAGCTAAATTTACACAAGACACTCAACGTAACATCTTCCAGGCTCTTTCCTGATCTGTACTACAAATCGTCATTCACATTTGGTAAAAATAATACCACTGTGGACGTGGTATTTATCGATACAGTGGTGCTTTGTGGAAACACTGCTGACTTTGAGCGTGGTACATTCATTGACATTCTTACTCATCCACAACACGAACCCATGGTTAGTTCGTTTGTCATAGTACCACCATGATGATTTGTCAGATATAAGCTCTTGAAATTCAGTATCCGAAGGATCGGCTCGAAGCCAATAAGCATTGGAAATGGATTAATGACACCCTGAATTCAAGCACGTGAGAAATTCGCATCCACATAATGTGTATATCTGTACATTTTCTCAGTGCCGACTACTTATTTGTTGCTGGACACTATCCAGTATATTCCGTAGCATCGCACGGGCCAACTAAGTGCCTTTTGGATCAACTTATACCTCGGCTGGAAGCGTATAATGTGTCAGCGTATTTCGCTGGACATGAGCATAGTATTCAGGTAACTCCCGTAAAGAAAAGCGTTAATTCTGACCCCCTCCAAGACATCTATTCAAAACGAAACAGAATTAGGTGAAACGGTATTTTACTCGAAGAAGGCTTCAATCAAGCGAGTCATCGTTCCTAAAAATTCTTTGTTAAGTGCCCGTTCTGAGTTTTTTCTATTAGTAAGATACATTTAATACGTCTTTCAAATCCAAAAAACTTATCTAGATTACTTTTCAGAGGTCCCACTTTTCCTTGCAACCCAAAATGTGCACGCATTGTCAAAGTTAACAGTTCGAAGACAAAGTTGAAAGTCGGAAAACATGTGTTCATCAACTCAGATAATCGCCGCGGAGCAAGCGGTCCGCAAACTCGCGCTTTTCTGCAAGCGG